AAATCCGGTTCATGGCAGCTTGAAATGTAGCCGGTGCATTTGTTAGCCCAAAGGGCATGACCTTGAATTCATAATGGCCCTCATGTGTTCTAAAAGCTGTTTTAGGAATGTCTTCAGTGCGCATCCTGATTTGATGGTAGCCCGAACGTAAATCAAGCTTACTAAAGACTGTAGCCTCAAATAATTCATCAAGTAGTTCATCAATGGTGGGAATTGGGAAAACATCCTTCACTGTGAGTGCATTTAAGGCTCAATAATCGATGCACATGCGCCATGTATTGTCATGTTTCTTCACCAATAATACGGGTGAGGAAAAAGCACTATGGCTTTGTTGGATCCAACCCAAATCAAATAACTCAGAAACCTGCCTTTCTATTTCAGACTTTTGATGGTGAGGATATCGGTAAGGTTTAACCTTGACAGTTTGGGAAACATCTACCAAATGAATAGCATGTTCCATATCACGAAAAGGGGGTAGGGACCTTGGAATCTCAAATACCTTTTGGCAATGGACCAAAATATTCCACAAATCAACAGATATGGTATTTTTCAACAACAAAAGGTCAGGAGATACCTCTGTGCTTACTGGTGCTGTCTCCTGCAAAGATAAGGCATTGCAAACTGCTGCTCCAGAGCTTGATGTAGCTAACTCTTTTTGTGATGGAATACCCTTCAAAAATACCTTTTGATTTTTCCACGAAAACTCCATGGATAAGTCACTATAATTATGAGTGACACGTCCCAAGGATACCAGCCAATGCATGCCTAAAATGATGCTCAAATCAGTTAATTCAACAACATGAAGATCAGTGGAAAAATAGTGACCTTGAATGAACAGTGGCACTTGAGAGCATTTCTTGTCACAAAGTAGAAAATCCCCATTGCCCATGAACACTCGCATCTTTGTACCTTTCAGCATTGGAAGATGCAATTCTTCTGCTAATACTTTATTAATGAAATTATGGGAGCTACCAGAATCGATTAATACTTGCACCTTCTTATCCTTGACAACTGCTAATAAGACCAAGGATTTAGCATCATGACCCGAGAGTGAATGCAGAGCAGCATCAACTCTCACTCCCTCAGTTTATGGTTTTCCCCACACAATCTCCTCCTCACCTTCACCCTCTGAATCATCAGGTTCTCCAATCAATATGAGCATTTTGGCTGGACAACGATGTTTAGTGGTCCACTTTGCATCACATGTATAACAAATACCCAATTCCCTTTTCTTTTGCATCTCTTCAGGGGATAGTTTCCTCACTGGTAAAGAACTTGGGGCTGGTAAGGCAAGTGATGGACCAGGTACTGGCTTGTCCATTGTGCTTACTGTATTGGAACGGAAAAATGGCTTTTTCTGGTGATGAGTGACTGAAGAGCGTAACTCTCCATGGTGACTATCACAAGCTATGGCCAATTGCATGGCTTGATGAAGTGAAGAAGGTTCACGCAATTGAATTGCCCCTTGTAGATCAGGAAATAAACCAGAAATAAAGAAAGTCATCAATAAATCATCACTGATATTCGATACCTGATTCATTAATTTCTGAAAATCAGCAATGTACTCGGACAAACATCCTGTCTGCACCAATTTGGATAGCACACCTCGCACATCCTTATACTGTGAAAGACCAAATCTCTGATTAACCGCCACTGTAAAATCCTCCCAGAAATTAACCCTACCACTATTGAAAACCCATTTATACCAATTCGCAGCTGCACCTTCCATTCGCAGACCAACGTGTTCCATCTTCAAATTTTCAGGAACATGATGAATCCGAAAAAACAAGGCCGCTTTGAAAATCCACGTGTTCGGTTTTTTTCCCTCAAACTTTGGAATCTCTGTTTTCACAAATTTCAGTACTGCACGAGAATCGTCCACATGCAATGAAGAAAGAAGAGCACCATGATGAGGCTGAGAAGAAGTTTCTGCAGAATTTGCGTCCGAAACCGATTTCGGAGCATGGGTCAACATCTCACGAAAATTGGTTTCCATCAATTGAAAACGTTTTTCCATCAACTCCAACATTTGCTCGAACCTACGATTGCAGTCCTCTTTGTGTTGTTGTAATTCATCAACCACTTCTTGAACCCTCATTGTTGGTATCTTGAATCCACCAAATGAAAGCACCAGTTGATAAGGGACGTGTACCCTTAAGAATGAAACACCAGATTCTTATTGATAATTTGCATGCATTACACATACTCATTGGGAGGTATTTATTGACAGAGTTGGTTATGCCACCTGGCATAACTACCAAGACCCATGTGCCTTTCATTACACGTGTGTGACTAGTGTGACTACTGCTATATGTGTGTGACTACTGCTATATGTATCAAACACAGTTTGTATCTATTTTACATAATCAACAGCCCACGATGGGTGTCCCCTAATTCTGATACTCTTCTTTCTAGCTACTTCACTCGTAACAGCGAGCCACCATATAGGTGGAAGACACGTGTGCATAGTCCCTGATGAATGGTCGAGATTAGAGTACATAAAAAGCATATTTGAGACTGGCATGTTATCGAAAATCATGCTGAGCCGGGGAAGCAGAGGAATTGATGGATGGTTTGGTTGGCATATAATTATTAATTTTTAATAAATTATAATCATTAGATTTATAAAAATTAACAGTAAAGAATTAATAGTAAGAAGTAATGAAACAAAAATAGTAAGTATAACATTTTTTATTTATAAATATTTAAAACATAATATAGTGAAAATAAGAAGCTTATATAAAGTATTATTAGATACATATGTAATAAGTCACATGCATGAACCTTCTGGGACGCGTCATTGCATTCACTCGTGCATTGATTAAGATCTGTATAGTTGAAAGATAAATTAAATTTGGAGTACGATAGTAGATATATGCTGGAACCACATATCTTTGCTTCCTGTAAGAATTTATTTCATCAATTATGAAGCTAATTAATAATGAGCTATACTACTTAAAACAAATCAAAAAAATAAATAAAAATGAGAAAAGATGGTTGGACGACTTTAATTTGTCTTTCTTACATTTTGTATGTGTGAAACTAATCTTTACTAGATGTATTTACTTTTCCCATGTGATCGCACCAAATAATTTTATATTATACCTGCTTCAATTTATATCATCCTATACATTAGATAGTCATCCAAGTATAAATAATACCCTTTTTAGAGACGGCAATTGGGATTTTCATTTTGCTTTATAAACATTAAATGCTAGATGTTATGTTTGGTACACAGAAGAATGACATCAAAATAAAGTAAAATGAATTGGAATAGAATATCGACATTCCAAACTAAAACAATAAATATTAATACATAATAGAGTTAAAATTTACCTAACTGATAGAAATATTCTGAATGAGAAAAACAAGTAGGTTAATTTTTCTCATGTATAATATTTGAATGTTATTTTTTAATTTAATAATAAAACGTTAAAAAAAGAGCAGATATCATTTCATTTGAAGAAAAAAAATTAATGTATGTAATATTTTGGATTATAAATTAACGTATGCAAGGCAGTGAATGACTTAATAAATTTAGAAAATTTCTTGTACAAATAATTATTTCCATTTTTATGAGGGAAAGATACAAACTTTATTATGGCCGGGACTCACTTTTCTTTTGTAAGGGTCAACAATTAATCTTATTACGAAGCCATTTATTTATTTAATTTGAAAATTTACTTTTTCTAAAGAAAATTGAGACAATAAAAATTTAAACAATAAATTAACAAAAAAGCAATTAATACAGAGATATAATTTTTTCTTTTACACAAAAGAAATGTATTTTATTATTAAATTGCACATCATAGCATATCGAGTTCACACCCAGAAATAATATTATTAAATTTTGTGTTTTACTATGTTATGTTATACACTATTTCAGTGTATTTAGATTATTTATCAGGTGAATCTGAAAAAGGTGTTTAATCTAATGCTACATAGCAATAAACTAGTTAATGATATACGAAATTAGTTTTTGCTCATACTCCTCATATTTATTTTTTCGATGCCATTCTAACAACTGAATCTTAAGTTTCTAATGAAAAAGCTTAAATACTACACAATTTCTTCACATATTTATGCTACCATAATTTCCCACAAGAGTTACAATACAGAATATAAAATTACTTTAGTTTCTCTCATATATAACTGTATACTTTTTTTTTTTCATTATTTGATAAACTTCAGACTACTGATATTTGTAAACCATCACATGATAATACCAAATTTAGTATATAAACTAAAGTCTTTCAATTAATTTATTTTATATTTAAAAAATATTTTAAAATTTATAAGATATTTATCTTCTTAAAAGAGTTAAAAACTAATAGCTAAAAGTAACAATTAGGTAATACTTTTAGAAAAAATTATACTTGATCCATAATTTTTTATAGTTTAATTGGTATATATGGTCTATATAAAAGGATTTGATATTTGTTAATATTTGGGCATATCATAATTTGCTATCATATCATGTTTTTATTAATTAAAATAAAAATAATTAATAATTATGAGTTAAAATCTTATTGGATGTTAATATAAAATTCCTCTACACTGAAGTTACATATAAATTAAATCCTTCTTTTTGTTATGAAATTTCGAAATAAAAGGGTAAGCTACGCATCTTTATCTTATATTTTTTAATTTGTTCTCCTTTATTAAAAAAAAAAACTACAAGTAAATAGGAAAAAGCATATGTTCTACGCGTTGTCGTAATAACTCTACGTGTATACACAGTTGTGCCAAATTAAGCACAGAACCTGACTCAGAAGTATATGCGTACTGTTTCATTATTACTACTTAATAGTTTCTCTTGTATATATAGCGTCATCCTCCAACATTCCTCCTTTGAAGTCTGGAGTAGTTTGTTTCGTGATCTTTTGTCTCACTTGTTCTCTACATCAAATTTCTCATATATATATATATATATAAGCTATAAAACCCAAACATCAACATATATTCCATTGATTGGTTAATATTTATATATAGGCTGAAAAATGGGAAAGTCACCATGCTCTGAGAAGTCAGGGTTGAAGAAAGGGCCATGGACACCGGAAGAAGACCAAAAGCTCATGGTTTTCATTGAAGAACATGGCCATGGAAGCTGGCGTGCATTGCCTGCCAAAGCTGGTAATTGTATTCCTTATTAGTAACTATTACACATTATTAGTTAAGCCCCTTTCATAGATAGCATATATTGACAATGTTAATACATATATATACACCATTGCCAAGTGTGTTTCTAATTTATATTCCATTTTGAGCAAGAAATAATGAGGGATTAGTGTTTGTTTGGCAAGGTCTTAGAAGATGCGGAAAGAGTTGCAGATTGAGGTGGACTAATTACCTCCGACCTGATATAAAACGAGGAAAGTTCAGCTTGCAGGAAGAGCAAAAAATTATTCAACTTCATGCCCTTCTAGGAAACAGGTCAGCCTCATGCCCTCATCATGCATGAGCTCCCGCATGGAGTGTATAAAGTAAATTAATAAGAGTAATGATAATCATTTATTTTTTATTAATATTATTATTAGGATTTACATAAAATTTCACTTATTAATAAAAAATGTCAACAAAATAAGTTGCTGGCATATTTTTTTTTTATTCCCACATTTCCCCGATCCAATGGTTATAATAACTCCTGTATTGTTTTGGTGTTTGCACATTATGTACAACCAACACTTCCCAATTAATAAATAAGGGTCATTTCATCTACCTAATACACTAAAGTGGGGTATAATGGGTTAATCACATAATTAATTATAGTATCTCTCTCTAGCTACTATAATCGATTCTTTTATACATGAAATTTCACACGTGTGACCAAGATCGTTTAATTATTAATTGATTATATGTGTCGATTAGTTCATACATTGGTAACTTGTTTTTCTAGAAAAAGAATTTATTATTACTTTGTTGGCCAATAAATGATATTGTTAACCAATAATTTACTCATCATTGCAATATAAGAGGTTTAAGAATAACATAATTCTATTTCTATATATTCATCTTAATATATATATAGTGCTAATGATTGCCACTTGAAATTGCACAGATGGTCAGCCATAGCAACTCACCTGTCAAAAAGAACAGACAACGAGATCAAGAACTATTGGAACACCCACCTCAAGAAAAGGCTAATAAGAATGGGCATAGATCCCATTACCCACAAGCCAAAATTGGATACACTAAGCCATTACAACAATAATGGCTCCAATCTCAGCCACATGGCTCAGTGGGAGAGTGCTCGGCTCCAAGCTGAAGCCAGATTAGTCAGAGAATCCAAGTTGCAACACCTCCACAACCACCTTCGACCCTCTACACCTTCTACCCTCGTTCTCAACAAAATTAATCCACCTCAACCATTATCACTACCACCATGCATAGACATTCTCAAAGCATGGCAAAGTTCATGGTCCAACCCCAAGTCACTTCCACCAATAAACGACAATAACAAAATGCATAGTAGCATGCATGCCATGATGCTTGCCACTCATGATGACCTTGATTCTCCAACATCCACTTTGAGCTTCCCTATCTCAATCAATGAGAATTTAATTCCAACAACAACCACTATCCCTATAGCCACTGAAGAACTCATGAGCGAAACTGAAAAGAGAATGTGCAACGATACAATGTCATGCTTGTTGCAAGACCACGATGACATTATGGTGGCTGTTGAAGCATTTAGAGGTGCTGGCTACGACAATAATAGTAATAATGATGTCACACTCACATCTCTCTCTAGCGATTTCATGGTAGGGTACTTCAACAATGATGATATTAATATGGTCTTTGATTCCAACGATAATTTAGCACAACATAACTTGCCAACCGCTAATGGGGATGGAAGCAACTGTGACATCAACTTCGAGGAGAATAAGAATTACTGGAATAGCATAGTTAACTTGGTGAATGATTCATTGTTCTAATTAGTATCATTCGTAGGACTTAGTTTTATATAAATGACCAATTTTCGGTCTGTTGGATTCAAATCCAGCATTTTAAGGTACGTACAGATGTTTAGATGCAAAGCCTAGTATGTTGTTGTTCTTGATTTTCATGTAGCAGCCATGAATTAGGATCTATAATTCTACGTGTGTCAGTAGGTTGGTGTATTTTCATAAAAATAATGAAGTTTCGTAGAATCTTATGTGTCAGTAGGTAGGTGTATTTTCATAAAATAAAAAAAAATGATTGGTAGAGTCTTTTACTACCAATGTACTATTCTTTAATAGTTTAATTATTAGTAGTACGGACACTGCTAAATTTTCAGCACGTGCGTTAAGATCGTGTGAGTTCTTGTGGCAATATTTATATTTTCACATGTACTTCACATTTTTTTTTTGAAAAAGGTGAATGTTGACGAGAAAATAAAAATGAGTTCGAAGTTATTTTATTGATAATTTATTTGTATTTTATATAAGTTTATGATTAATGTACTTATAGCTAATAAAAATCAAAATTATTTTATTGATGATTATTAATAACGTATTTTATTTTTTAAAGTGCATGACATACTTTAAAGAAATTTTCTTAAAAAGTCATCAAGGTTAGTCTAGTGATAAAGGGGTTGGGTAGTTTCTCTTAATTAGATTACATGTTCAATTCTTACTAATGTATCAAAAAAAATATTGAATTCTCTTAATAAATAAATAAATTAATATTAATTGATTGATAAGCATACTCAGATGAATTAGATTCACTCGCGGAGCCACACTGGGGCTAGCTGTAAGCAATTCATCAGTAATTCATTAATGCATGTTCAACAATGATCATTCAAGAACATGATACATGATCTTTAGAATTCATGATTTTCACATAAGAGCGTACCTTTCTCCATTAGTGCGGAAGAACTCTGATGAAGAACTTTAATGATGGAAGATTGTTTCTCAGAGTCTTTACCCTCTGCTTTCCTTGTATCGTCTATGACAGGGATCTGATACAACTTTTATGGGCAGACCATGAAGGAGAGAATTCTGAGAGATAATCATAATCAGAGACTCACCATTTTTCTCTTTATATAACTGAACCATGTCACCAGTTACGGAGTTTCAAATAACTCCCTGTAACTTCCCATTAATGCGAAACGTCAAAACGTCAATTACCATTAATGCAAAACGTTACCATAATGCAAAACGTCAAAACGTCAATTACCATTAATGCGAAACGTCAATTACCATAAAGCCTCTTTTATTATTAATTAAACTAATTGACACACGTTACACATGAGACACAAATAGTTTTACATTCTCCCACTTGGCTCATGTCATAAGGTGTCCCTTCATGATTTAATTAACATTCACTATAATGCGCATTTACTAGGCTAAAGGTTCCATACATTGACGTCATCATAATTCATTATTAGAAATAAAATCAACATGAGTCATGACGGTTGTATGCTATCAAGTCGGCATAGTCCCTTCCATGTACTACTATATTGACTCTTCTTCCTAACATGATACTTTAATAGGAAGTGTACATTATGTCCAACAATAATGTCTTCATAATGGACCATAATTATTTTCAATATCATTAGATATACTTGCATGCATACATAAATTGAAAATAAGACAATAACAGAAACATATATTCATCAATGAGCTCAGAGTGTCAACACTTAATGCATAACTATAATTTTCATCATTCACTAGCTGACATAATGCCCATTCTACATACATGACCAGTAAATGTCTTGGGCGGTAATCCCTTCGTCAAGGGATCAGCTATCATAAGATTGGTGCTAATATGCTCTATAGACACTCTATGTTTCTGAACCTCTTCTTTAACGGCAAAGTACTTTAATTCCATATGTTTAGCACCTTTGGAATACTTGTCGTTTTTTTAGAAAAGAAGACTGCTGCGGAATTATCACAATAAATTTTCAGCGGCTTTTTAATATTGTCGACCAATCCAAGCCCTGAAATAAAGTTTCGTAGCCATTTAGCCTGAATTGTGGCTTCAAAGCATGCCACAAATTCAGCTTTCATAGTGGACGCAGCTATTACAGTCTGCTTTGCACTTTTCCATGATATAGCTCCTTCAGCTAAAAAATACAGGTAACCACATGTAGACTTTCTTGTGTCTACGCATCCTGCAAAATCCGAATCTGTGTATCCAATAACTTCAAGGTTGCTAGACCTTCTATAAGTAAGCATGTGACCTTTAGTTCCTTGCAAATATCTCAGAACTTTCCTTGCAGCTTTCCAATGATCCATACCGGGATTACTTTGGTATCTACCCAACATCCCAACTGCAAAGCTAATATCTGGTCTCGTACAAGTCTGAGCATACATTAAGCTCCCAACTAATGATGCATACAGAATTGCTTCCATTTCTTTTCGATCCAATTCACTTTTAGGACATTGTAAGAGACTAAACTTATCTCCTTTCTGAATTGGAACTGGAGACGATGAGCAGTTTTCCATTCTGAATCTCTCTAGAACTTTATTAATATATGCTTTCTGAGACAAACCTAACAGTCCTTGTGATCTATCACGGAATATTTCTATTCCTATCACATAAGCTGCCTCACCCATATCTTTCATTTCGAAGTTACTAGAGAGAAACTTCTTAGTCTCATTCAAAAGACCAAGATCGTTAGTTGCCAGCAAAATATCATCAACATACAGAATCAATAAGATAAACTTGCTCCCACTGATCTTCAGATATATACATCGATCAACGATGTTTTCTTTAAATCCAAAGAAACAACGGTATCATTGAACTTAAGGTACCATTGCCGTGAAGCTTGTTTAAGTCCGTATATTGACTTCTTAAGTTTGCACACCATGTGCTCTTTACCCTTTTCTATGAACCCCATTGGTTGGTCCATGTACACATCTTCATCTAAATTTCCATTTAGAAAGGCGGTTTTCACATCCATTTGGTGTAACTCTAGATCATAATGAGCCACCAATGCCATAATAATTCTTAAAGAATCCTTCTTTGAAACTGGTGAAAAAGTTTCTTTATAGTCAATGCCATCTTTCTGAGTGAATCCTTTTGCAACAAGTCTGGCCTTGTGACGTTCCAAGTTACCATGAGAGTCACGTTTGGTCTTAAAGACCCATTTACAACCAACTCTCTTGCACCCTTCTGGTAACTCAACAAGATCCCAGACCTTGTTCTGTTCCATAGATTTCAACTCATCTTTCATAGCATCTAACCACTTATCACCATTTTCACCATTCATGGCTTGTGAAAATGTTACTGGATCATCCTGAATACCCATGTCAAATTCAGACTCTTGTAGATATACCACATAATCATTAGAAATAGCAGGTCTCCTTTCTCTTTGAGATCTTCTTAATGCTATTTGTTGTGGTTCTTCTACTATGGGTTCATTCGGTTCATCAACAATGATCTCTTCATAAGTAGTGGGATCATTAACTTGTCCTTCATTATTATTGATTGGTTCAATAGCATAAGGAACAATAACTTTACTAGAGCTACAAGGTAATGTAACTTGTACTCTCACTTCATGAATATCCACTTTACGTGGTGTTTCACTCCCACTAACTTCACCATTCTCAATGAACCTTGCATTTCCAGATTCAATAATCCTTGTAGTATGATAAGGACAGTAAAATCTATACCCTTTCGATTTTTCTGGATAACCAATGAAATAACCACTGATTGTCCTTGCATCTAGTTTCTTTTCTTGCGGATTGTAATATCTAATCTCTGCCTGACAACCCCAAACATGCAGGTGTCTTATACTAGGTTTCCTTCCAGTCCAAAGTTCAAAAGGAGTCTTTGGAACTGACTTACTAGGAACCCTATTCAATACGTACATGGCAGTTTTTAGAGCATAAGTCCACAATGAAACAGGTAAAGAAGAATTACTTAACATACTCCTAACCATATCCAGTAAGGTCATATTACGCCTTTCTGATACACCATTCTGTTGCGGTGTACCGGGCATTGTGTATTGAGCACAAATACCACGCTTTTCCAGAAATTTAGCAACTGGGCCCGGATGTTGTCCACTTTCATCATACCTTCCATAATATTCACCACCCCTATCAGACCTGACAATCTTCACCTTTATGTCTAATTGCCTTTCAACTTCATTAATATAAATCTCCAAAGCATTTGCAGCTTGAGACTTATCATGCAACAAATAGACATAACCATAACGTGAATAATCATCAATGAAAGTGATAAAATATTTTTCTTTATTGAAGGCATTAACATCAAACGGACCACATACATCAGTGTGTATAATTTCAAGAAGCTGAGTGCTCCTTGTGGCTCCTTTCTTTGTGTGTTTTGTTTGTTTTCCTTTAATACAATCCACACAAACATTCAAATCAGTAAAGTCTAAATCCGGAAGGATTTCATTATTTACCAATCTTTTCATCCTTTCTTTGGAAATATGTCCCAAACGTTTGTGCCACAAGTAAGCGGAACACTCATTAATTAAGGTACGTTTAGTACCAACATTATGATGCAGAGTCATAAGTGTTTCAGCATAAAGATTATCAAAACATAATTTATATAATCCATCACATAAAGTACCATTACCAATCAAATGATTGTGTTTGTACAAACTGAAACTACCACTACCAAATTTAAAAGAGTATCCAGCAACATCAAGTTTGGAAATTGAAACTCAATTCCTAGATATACTAGGGACATACAAAGTTTCACATAAGTCCAAATGATATCCACTGTCGAGAATTAAACGATACGTCCCAACAGCTTCCACCGGAACTTTCACTCTATTGCCCATAAAGACAAACTTTTCATTTGGCCTTGTGGATCTTAGAAGAAGAGGCCTCATTCACTTTAAGGGGTCCTCCTCCTCCTCCTTTCTTCTCATGCATCTTACCTTTATACTTTTCAGCTTCTTGATGCTTTACATAATTGACAGAATGATTTTAATAACATGCTCAATATTTTAATTTTGCCGCAATGCTTGTCATTT